GAGAGACGGAGAGAGATGGGTGGGGAGAGACGGAGAGAGATGGGTGGGGAGAGACGGGGAGAGATGGGTGGGGAGAGACGGAGAGGAAAACAGATCCCAATGGTCATGACAAAATGAAGAGTAAAACGTACAGCTGAAATGGAGATACAAGTGCCTCTACACCCACAAGAACTGACAGGCTCATGAGGGACTCCACTTCAGTCGTAACTGACCTTGTTAACAAGACCGCCACATTGAATTGAAAGTGATCTTTTTTTAACTCTGGGGGACCATGAACAAAAATGCAAGCAATGCAAAAAATCCATTACACGTTAATTTCACTTACAATGATGAGTAATTTGAAATTTGCGATTTAACTGTATCTCAATGTTTTAAGCAACATTTGAACAAACATGACAGTGAGGCATGAAATCCAAAATGGTCGGGCACCACCAAGTGGGATTCCACTTACAAACTCAAAGGCTGGTGATGCTCCAGCACCAACATCGCCCTTCTTGTCCGGCCCACCAGCTCCGGCTGAAAGAGGAACGAAAAATGACGAGACAAATGAAATGCTATGAACAAGAGCCTGACGACCCAATAGTTTGCTGAGGAGAATTCCGTGCTGAAGCCGAGTCGTGAAACTTTGGGTCCGTATGATGGCAGCGGCATCCTTGTTTACTCGTTAGGAAATTGCTGCTGTACCTTGGCGCTCTTGGGGCCGGGGGGAATGGGTGGCAGATTACCCATTGTACCACAGGGGTATGGCAGGCTGCCGCATTAAACAGAGTATATTTTTCGGAGCAAGCAGAGAAGCGCCTAAAGGAGTCTGGTAGAGCAAGGGACGGATCAGAACATCTCTACTTACGAGGTCCACGACGGTAGGCCTCACGCTGGGCATCGCCACCAGAGGGACCTCTTGGTGGCATCTCTGAAACCAACCAGAGGCAGAAAACAGTTCATGATACACAGTTTTCACAATCAAAAATCCAGACTGAGTTCTGGACTGAGATCTTGATTACAGACAAGCTACAGTGGAACGCCGCTATACCGAAGACCGCTATACCGAACATTCGGCTGTACCGAACATTCGGCAGTACCGCACATCGTCCTTGGCTCCCAATAATTTGTGCACAGAACCTACCGAACACTATTCAGCTGCCGTTTGTAATTCCCGAACGTCAACATGATAAAACAGTCGGTGTTTTTTTACGTTGGAAAGTGACGGGTGGCCATTATTTCTCCAAGGATTAGAAGGAAAAGCCACTAGTTGTCAACGGTATTGAATAGACACTGGTTTTGCGACTCAACATGATCGGGTGCAGAAGAAATCCGCACATACGCGCACGGTGGCACTGCACTCGGAATAGTCTAAAGAGGGCGCCACTGATACACAAATCAACCAAGATTTGCCACAGCAAGCATCAGAGGTCGATCCTAAGTGGTAGTTTCACAACTTTTAGGATAAACTCAATATCAATTTTTTGACTCAAGTTTAAATAAAAAACAAAAATAATTAACAGATACATTTCAAGAAACCTTAAACTTGAATGCAACAGCAAAACATCACAGAGAGCCAAGGTATCACAACAGGGTGCACTTCGGTTAAACAAGAGAGGGCGCTATTCAACATGGCAACAAAACATTCAGCAGTTAAATTCGCTATACCGAACGACCGCTGTACCAAACATTTGGCGTGGACCCCGTTTTGTTCGTTATAGCGCCATTCCACTGTACTTCCTGTTTCCACTTCACGACTCATTTCAGCACTTAACCACATTTTTCCACAAAAAAAAGGGTCAGCAAATGAAATATTCTTCGTTCTTAACCACTTCCTGCCAGGGAACCCAGTTTCGGGCACTGTGTGTTTATACGTGTGGCCAGGGTCTCCAAAATCGGACAAAGAGAACTGGGCCTTGTAACAAAAGACCGTTCTCGGAACAAAAGACCAGGCTGCTGGGCATTACCGACATTTTTTCACTCTCAATAGTGGAGAAAATCCAGTCTTGTTTTGAAACAGTATACATGGTATAGCACGGTTTGGGGAATTTAGGGCGAGCAAATTACCACCGGGGACAAAAGCACTCCTCTCAGCACCGCTGCACGCTAATCTGGCCGCTACTGAAAAGAGGTCAGCAGCACACTGTGCCAGGTTCGTGAACAAAAGAAAGTTACATAACACCGCACAATCTGGACTCTTTTTACAAGGTTGCAGGCCTGGCTTAAATACTCAGGCGTCAATACATTTTGTCTGTCAGACTAGAGTGGCCATCAGACAGTAATTCATATGGGTGTAAACATCCATTAATTGAAATGATGAATTTTTGAAGAATTTTGAAAACTGAAAGTCTTGAAAAGTCCCAATTATGTGCACTGCATTTTTCAAACCTCCCGGCAGCAAGTGGTTAATGGCACTGGGACATCAACCCTGCCTGTTAAACAAAAGCTCAGCTCTCTGGTCCTTGGTACTCGATTGTAACAAAAAAATCAACCCCCCCCCCATCCCAGCATGTCATTATTGGCCTTTCAAAGTACTAATCTCAATATCTTTTTGATGCCTTCTGCATTTTAAACATTTGGAACTGTCGGCAATAACAAGAAGATCAAATGTTCAAACAGGACGCCAAATCTCTACATTTGGACACTCCCACGACAATCATGGCATGATACTACAAAATCAACTAATGTATGTGAATAAAAATTAGAAATGTGTAATTGGACTTCTATGAATGAACTATTTGGTTTACCACTTTGGAATAGGTGGCTGATGTAACTATTTTAGCATCTGACACAAGCACTCCAATTTGCCTGCAACAGAACTCAAGATCTCAATTCTGCCTTTTTTGAAATTTTCAGGGCGTTGAGTTGGCTACAGATAGAACATTTCGTTCAGGGATCAAGGCCCTGGCTGGGGAATTTCTCCTACCCTTGGTGGGCCGTGGTCTGGCAGCCTCCGGCCTGGGCTGTCTCTTCAGCGTGGCGGGGACAATCTCGGGAGGCAGGTGGAGGTATTCCCTCAAGTACTGGATGCCCTCGTTGGTCAGGTACCAGTAGTAGTGCCGCCAGGCAAACTGTTCCTTCACGTAGTCTCGCGATTTCAGAGACTGCCGTGGTCAAAACCAAAAAACCATTTGTGGCTTTTGCCAAATTTAATGGTCTACTGGTCATAACTTCAGCATTTTTTGTAGAAAGATCAGGAACATTGAAGGTTAAAACAGGCAGGGTCCTGTTTGTCTTTACAAAATTAATTAAAACCGATCAAACTGAGTCCACATCCTTGCTAAGTGGACACTCATTGCCAATCAAATTTACTGAGGGGTCTATCCCCCTACATATTCATATTCATGAGTCTCAAACTACAAGTTCCCCCTTCGAGGTCAGCTTTTGCAAAGCGCAGTCCGATTGGCACAAAGTTTGTCAAACAATTCATATTTGGTAACGTTCACTGATCAATAATTGCATGAGGTCAAACAGAAACAATGCAGACTCTGTTCACCTGGGTGTGTTACAACAACATTCTTTATTATATCTCCCACGTAGAATTCTGTTCTTGACAAAGTTGTCCTATCGGTCAAAATCAGTCAAATGACCCCTACGTGTCTATAAATTGTGGCAAAAGTGCTGACTGTAGTGATTGTTACAGCAAGAGGAAAGTTGACACAACCTGGATTGTAAGGATGAGATTGCATGACGGCAGTTTGATAGTGTAACCATGCCACTTATGTCAGTTCTGGATAATCAACTGGCTGTGGCTTGATATAGCACACGCATCTATGAGAAAAAGGCTGCAGCTGCCATCAAGCGCCCTCCATAGGCGCATGTGTTAATCTAAGCCGCAGCCCCTACTTTCAGACGTGGCTGCTGCTGGGGAGGCAAGTGACTGACCTTCATGGCCATGATGACCTGCAGGTTGGGCACGTCCAGATCTGGGTGCTTGGGCAGATACCAGTCTTTCTTGGCCACCAGGACCCCCTCTTTGAAGAGGTTCTCATAGATGGCAACGCGGTTTCTCTTGGGCATCAACATCCTGACACAAAACGACCCCAGAACTGGTGATTAGCTAATCAGAATAAAAGTTTTTAGATTTGCATCCACTGCCTACCCATTCCAAAACTCTCCACTGAAATATTACCCAATTTACAATTATTATTTTTTAAACACAAGAAGGCCACAAATATTACTGTCATGGCTTAATTGACTTTCTCCTTTCTTAAGGCTAGTTATAATTAATTCTTAGGTTTTCATCACTTTACTATAAAGAAATTCACTGAAGCGGGAAATTCGTCTCACATTGTCTTATAAATCATACTTTGTCACATTCAAAATAAATTGGAATATTGAACTTCGAATAGGTTAGATGAGACCAAAACTTAAACATGCTAAATGAAAAAAAAACCCAAATATAAACATTACGAAACAGTATGTAGAGGTCAGTAGTTTAATTATGTCGAGTCATGTTTATTGTACGTTCAATACAATGCCGTAAGAAGTTAAATATTGTTTCTCCCACAAGGGTTGAAAAGAATGATGGTGGCCGTAGCCTAAATAGGCCCAAATGATAGTCATGATGGTAGGCAGATGTACCGATGCCCATAATGGACTGACTACCCATAACAAGCCATGATATAAATCAATGTTTCGTGACCTAAAAAGTAACGACAAAACAAATACCACAGACCTCCCTCCTCTCCTTGTTCGGTAGCACTTGTTCAATATTTATAACGTCTATACACGAGTTTATCATGTACAAGAAAGGCCGATGCATTCGGCATGTTTAGAGATCAGTGACTGATCGATCATGATGAACACAAATTAAATTCCGGTATTAATCTGCAGTCGGAGAAAATTAATTTTAACCAACTTCCGCCACTTCAAGTAACGAAAAATTCCATCCTGAATTTTTATAATTAAATAAATGTTACACTGTCCCATTCAATCGTTTTAATAAATAAAGGATTTCGTTGATTTTAGGAGATATTTTCCTCATTCCCTTACTCTGATTTAGCGGGCCGATCACCGTCAGTGCAAAAGACCGACTATTAGGCAAGCTGGTAATCTTCTCCACCTGTACCCTATACCTATGTCGTTATAAATTTGCATGTGAACCAGCGAGGTTCACTGAAAATTTGAAGTGAGCCCTCAAGTGTTGTTACGTGTTTAGTTTAACAATTTTAGCTTCCAACCCCCCCCCCTTTGTAAAAATGATGTAATTTAAAAGAATGGAAGAATTATATATTTTATATTTCAATTCTTTTAATGTTTTTAAAATAACCAAATAATTCATGTTTCCTGGAGTAATTGGTATTGTGGAGGGAGATACAGTACATTGAATTCGGAGAGAAAATTTTGTGAAAAAAATCACTTTCACATTCAAACTCGTATTTCACAAGGTGTGAAAAGTCCTGAAAATCTTTTGGGAAAATAATTATGTGGAAATCTTTTCCCATTTGTGAATTTTTTTCCCACTTGAGAAAAAAAGCTGAAATTGTTTTCCCACTTGTAAAATGAGCTGCGAATTTCTTTTTTCACAGAGGGGAAGAAAGTGTGAAAGACTTTCCCACCGAGGGGAGAATTTTTTCAAAATTTTGAAATGAATATTCGTTTCCCGGATGGGAAAAAGTATGAAAAATTTCCTCTTTTTGAGGTATATCGTATATGAGCAAAATATTGCGTGCAGTGTAAACATTTAAAGCTTCAAGTGGACACCCAATTAATATAGTAGCCTCGGGTCGATCAGAACATGGAGCATTTCCTACCTCCATGATCAGAACATAAAGGTAGATACGATCAAGTTGAAAAATAAAGACACAAAAACACAAACTGCCTAAACAAACATGCTAGAACTTCTAACAAACATAGATCATAAACCAAACCACGGAACTAATCGTCAATACTGAAGAACATGTACTGTACTGACATGGGACATTTTCTGGTGCTCGTACAAGTTTCTCGGAAAGCTTTTACGTCACTATATTTAAATGAGTTAAAAATTCCAAAGAGCATTTACTTAGGTGACGTCATCGAGGAAGTCACGTGACTACCGTTTTTGTCAACAAAATCACGTGCTCAGCATATGACGCACAACAATACACCGCCAGGCGCCCACTGAACCAGAACTGAACAGCTTCGCTGGCGCTCAGTATTAAATACGCACAATTCGATTCTTATTCGAAGGCCAGTTTTCTAACATTTATCACGGTGTTATTCATATTTAAACCTTTAATTCAACATACCTGTATCAAGATGGGCATCATTAAGATAGTAAGTATTCCTAGACCTTTATGTTTACAATTTCCATTTGCAAGGCTGTCCATTTAGGCAAAAATTGTGGTGCCTTTGACATGTTTGATGGACATTTTATGACAGCAATTGCAAAACGGAGCCATTTATTGACAACATACATGGCGCTTCATGCTTTGTTCAACAATTAACAGGGCTGGAGTGATCAGTAAACAGGTGAATGGCCGTTATTTGGTTAATGTGATTAAAAAAATGTCACTTTAGGATGTGGCATTCTTTCCATATATTCTGAGAAGTTGTATAGACTTCAGTAATTTTGATTCATCGTCACAGCTCACAGATGGTTGCTTTGGGAAGCATTGTTCTTCCATGTGTTGGCCTACTTCTGAAGTTCTGTTTTTGTTGATATAAGAGTATTTTGTTTTGTTTTTTATTGTTTTAAGTTTTAATTCTTTTGTTGTCATCTCCATCAAATCATCTATGTAAGGTTGCTGGCTAGGCATGTGTTTGGGGAAGATTTGTACCATTCATTATTGGGTCTGCTCATTTGACAACAGTGTTTGATGTCACACAGTCGTGGCTTTCCTTCAAGTGGCAGGCTGCTATCGCTTGCTCTGTGCTGTAACTAACTGTGGGTTCCGACGTCCGCTATTGGAGTGGAGTGGACATCCGGTACCCCCAGAACCGTGGGATCCGACGTCCGGTCCGCTCCCTCATGGGAGCCGAGCGGACGTCCGGTACCCCCAGAACTGTGGGATCCGACGTCCGGTCCGCTCCCTCATGGGAGCGCAGCAGACGTCGGACCCCACAGTTCTGGGGGTTGATCGATGGTACAAAAGAAAAAGAATAATTTGCGAAGTGTTAAAAATTTTACGCATCTATCAGAACAATGCCAATGGATAATACATCTATCCTACTGGATTCTAAATGAGAATAGAACCCGCTTAAAAATTAATCGGATAAATGTCCATTTCGGGTGAACTTGAGGTGAAATCGCAAATCCATCAAGAGGCGATATTTCTGCAAACTTTGACTGCCCATACAAGTTGCAGGCAAAATTAGAGTAGTCTATCATGTCTATTGCAGTTGAACAGCCATGACAGCCATGAGATTTCTCCTCAGTTCAGCAGATTTAAGATTGAAAAAAAAAATTGCTGGGGGAAATATGCCTAAATTAACTTTGCCAGTAACAAGTTTGGGCACACGTGCAGTGCAACCCCGCTTGCCGGTGTTTGTAAGTTTACTGTAAGTTCCCCCCTTTGCCTGCATGCATGCACAGTGTGTAATTGAAACGTGCAGCAACGTTTGCATGGGACACTGCATTGTATGACCTCTTCATCTGAACAGGAGTTCAGTACTGAACAACAGTTGCCCCTCAGGAAGTACACTTTATGTTGTGATAAGCACACGTATCCAGTGGGCTTTTACTTCGCAAACTGTCCATAGTAATGTTAGCGCTTTCTTCTAAATCTGTGCACCTTAGCTTCATGGACAAGCCATCATGCATGCTATGGTAAGTGCTCATTTCCTTGTACATGATATGCTGTTTTTATTTTTAATGCCATGACGTCACAAGGAAACATCATAAGTTTTCTTGTATTTTCATTTCAACGCTAGATCATGGAGAACCGCCGCGATTTTCTTTGCAAACACCTGCGAACACAGCCTGCAAGATTGCAGCTTCACCTTTCACTTTTGTTCTTCACGGCTTGCTTTCACATGATTATTTTGGGAGTTTTGCTGGAAAGCGTTTTGACTTGAACATTTTATTTCTCGTCTCAATTTGTAATACATCTTGCATTGTGCCGACTTTATAATTGATGATGAGGCCCACTACAGGGAAGAAGTTGTTCGTTGTTGGGCCGGTTGGACCAATCCATAGTATTATTGAACCACCATTACATGTACTTGTAGATGGCTTAAATCAACAGATATGCACACCACGTTATGGGAAAATTACCAGTGTGTGATTGGGTAACATACAAGTTATTCATAGCTTTGTTTTGACAAGCCAATCTTGCAGTTTCACTTTTGTCACAAAGTTGCATGATACTAACTAAATATGTTATCACAAGTTTCCTCTTTTTCCTTCATTTCAGACTAAATCATCAGTCGTGTTCCTCTGTCCTTGCCTGGTTTCTGCCTTGGTCTTTCTTCTATATTGGACCCCCCGGGGTGAGCCCCCCTGCCCCATTGGCGTGGTCTACAAGTGCCTGCCAATCCTGTTCCTCTGCATGTACGTTGGGGCTGAGATCTTCTTCAGTGGCATCTCCCGGTACTCCGCTTGCATAATGCTCGGCCTGCTGTTCTCGGGGACCGGGGATGCCTACATGGTCTACCAGAGGGACTACTTCATCCACGGCATGCTGGCCTTCGGTGCAGCGCACCTGTTCTACGCCGTGGCATTCCACGAACGGCGGATGTGGTGGAAGTTTGTGGTCTTCTATACGCCGTTCAACGTCGTCATGTTTACCATCCTTGCACCTCGAGTCAGTTTTCAGGTGTTCGTCCCCGGGTGTTTCTATGGCCTACTCATCACCTTGATGCTGTGGCGGGCGGCTGCTCGCCTGGACTTCAGCAACCCCTCCGCATCCAAACTCTGCGCCTTAGCGGGAGCACTCCTGTTCTTGGCCTCAGACACAGTTCTGTCGCTGAATAAGTTCGCAGTACCGTTGCCCTATGCTCAGTACATCATCATGACGACGTATTACTCGTCCCAGTTTCTCATCACCGTATCCGTCCACAAAGAAGTTGAAAAACACGGAGTAACGGCTGCATTAAACGATGGTCTCAAAAAGAACAATTAACACATGTCTTTGAGAAGGATGTAGAGGGACGTTTGTAGATGTGCATACGTGTATTTGTACGAAATGTCCAAGGACTGTTGGCTCAACTGAATTAGTTATTTTTAATTTAAATTGTAAAAAGACTTACGGATACAAATAGAAGCATCTGAAAAGAATTTTGAAGCACTTTGTATTCATGATGAATAGACACATTTGTTGTGGTATTCAGCACATAACAACACGTGCAGAAAGTTGGACAATATACATGTCTTAGCAATTGACAAAGTTGAGGTCAGAACTTCAAATATTTATGGAAGGATAGGTTCCTATGTAGAACGAAAAGCTGTTCTTTAATTTGTTCCTCAACATTTTCTAGTCAGGCCGCAAAGTGCTGGCAACATGGTTCCCCACTTAGTGAAGGTCGGTGCGTGTGAAGAGCCAGACACGGCTTTTGTTAAGCAGACGCTGAAAGCTCAAATTTTTATTACAAAGCAAAAGCAAAGATTAAAGGTTGCTATTAAAAGTTGAGTGACACTTCAAGAAGTTTGGAGTTAGAATTGGATTTTGTTTGATTTAGATGTGCATTATTTTGATTGAAATATTTCTTTTGTAAGGAAGCTCCCTTTTCTTTTTGTAAGTGTTCATTTATATAATTTTTTGAAGGTTTTTGGGATCACTGTAGATTTGAAGTCTCTTATAAAAGGTTATTACGTGTACTGTGTTTAATTTAATTTGTGTACTGATTTTCTCTGCTTGACATGGAGGGTCGAATTCCAGGGCACTAAAAAAATAAATCTAGGCAATCCAGACTACACACGCAGAACGATCATCACTAACTGGTATTGTCTGCGTGAGGTCGGATCGAACCAAAGCATGCAGTCAGAGTCGACCCCCCACATTTGGTGATGTTTTGTCAAAAGTTACAAAAGTCTATGGACACACTTGTACATGCAGCTGGATGATACCAGTTTGCTGGGGTACGGCCCCGGTCAGTGGTATCAAAGATTTGGGAGATAGCACATCACAGATTTTGAAATTTGGGCAGGATGTGACCCAGTGCAAATACGGTTTATTGAGTGTGCCTGATCTGCACTTTGTGGTTGCTGTGTTTCTAGGCCAATTGATTACATTTGGCCTTTCACACAGTCGCGTTACTTTCAAAACCAGGACAAGGCTGAAAAGGAAGCATGCCTCGAAAGGGTGTGGAAGACATAAACCACAGCATATCAGAAACGTGCACCAGAAATCCCTTCCTAGCATACCTAAGGAAAATTGTACCCAATTATTTAAAAAAAAAACAGTCTAACAGTGTTTTGGTAACTGATTACAGAACAGGTTTGACTCAATCTTCCTCCTTAACATTCTGGTAGGCTTTAAGTTACACCCATTCTAATGTGAAGTTCGACAATGCATTTGAAAATGAGGGGAAAGAATATTGAGGTGCCTAGTTATGTTGTCATTCCATAATTTATAACGTGCATCCATTCTTGCCCGTGGCCAAATAAAAGTAAAAAATCTTTCATTTCAGTGCAGTTGAGACTTCTGAAGTTTGCCGATGTGCTCACTATCTGCACACATGGTTGGAAACATTTCCAACAAAATGATCCCACGTTGAGAGATCTTTGGAGCGGATCAGGTTGCCCCAAGGGCAGAATTCTCAAGACTTTCCTTCACCGTAGCATCTCAGATGGCCTCTCAGTCTAAACATGTATCCCGAGTATTTAACCCACCCTGTGTGACTTTGTATCCATTTCTCTACCTGCAGCTACAATCCACAGGTCTGCGACTTCTGCCCTTCATCAACTCCTCCCTGATCTACCTGCTCCACTGGCTGCCCCAGCGCAACGCCCCCTCCCCCTGGGGCATCCTGCTCAAGTGCCTGCCCATCATCTTCCTGTGCATCTTCGTGGGCAGCTACCTCTACCGCAGCGGCTTCAGCCGCAAGCAGCGCTACTCCATCTGCATCCTGACGGGCCTGATCTTCTCTGGGCTGGGCGACGCCTGCCTGGTCTACAACAAGGACTTTTTTATCCACGGCCTGCTGTTCTTTGCCGTCACCCACTTCCTGTACAGTATGGCCTTCCACGGCAAGCCCTACCGCTTTGGATTTCTCCTGGTCATCCTTCCCGTCTTCGCCTGCGTCTACAAGGTCCTCTATCCCGGACTGAAAGGCCCGTTGATCTACCTCTGCGTCATCTACGGCCTTCTCATCATCATCATGTTCTGGAGGGCCTTGGCCCGCATCAACTTCGCGGTCCTTTCCTGGACCAAGACCTTTGCCTGCATGGGCGCCCTGCTCTTCGTCATCTCAGACACAGTCCTGGCCATCAACAAGTTCACGGTACCCATCCCTTATGGTCACCATATCATCATGACGACGTACTACACTGCCCAGCTGGGCATCGCGCTGTCCGTTGTCCCGGAACTGGAGAAGAGCTGTGAAGACGAGCCTCAGAAACCTTGCAGTCAACCCAAGACATCCAACAACAGGAAGAGAATCAAGTCATCTTAAATTCAGTGATAAAAAACTAGAAAAAAAAACAGAAAAATAAAAAATAGTCGCTTCCAGAGAAAAAGACGTGCTTGCCATTTGTACAGGGAGTCTGGGAATTAAGTTTCATTTAATATATCTGCTTTTTAAATACTACACTGTACATACATGTAGAGTCTACGGCCTTCTTCCAATGGCACCGGTACCATTACTGAAATGGTGGTGTCTCCACTGCACATTCAGTCTTGACAAACCAAACCCTCAGCTTGATTGGTTTGTTCACAGAATGAAGGAGACCAATCAGAGGGCAAGATCCGTGAGCATAGCACCGCCCACCCTAAGGAAATGTAGGTGACTAACAAACAGCAACTGGGTGTTTTGGTTGGCCAATGTCCTTTCAATTTAGCACTCAAGAGGGCGGGACCACGTGGATTATGCAGACGGCCTCAGTGTGCAGTGGGGTTCACCAATCTCACATCATGTGGTTCAGTATTAACTTTCCTGTGTGAACTCCAGTATTATTGTCACGAGGGATTAATACGTATACTTTTCAGGCAGCTTGGTTTCTAATGCTGGATATTTGGTGCATTACAATGTACCTATATCGGTTCAGTTTGTTTCCTGGATTTGTTTTACCTCATTCAAAGTTGCTACGTGCAGTGGCATCTGCAAACCTCAAGTCACTCTCTCCAAGCGTGAAAAGAGTGGAAGTTGATTGACATTTTGTTTAGTCTCTTTCGGCATATTCTTTTATTTCTGTGGTGTTTTCACTTGTGGGCTATGTTTTACACGAAGATTTAACTTGGGAATCAGTGTTTTTTTTGTTTTCTATTGTGTATTTGGTGGGTTATTTTTCAGATATTTTGTCAAGATTTATCAGGATTCACAGAGGGAGGGAAATCAAACATATTTCTGTAACAAATTGCCTGGGCAGATTCCATCTATTCTGGTTAACTCTGTAAGTCAGATATTCTGCAAGAATATGCTTTACTTGTAAAGCAAGTTACGTTGTTGTGGCCATCGTTCAAATGATGAGTACCATATACTGGTTTTAATACTTATCCATTTGCTGCTGATAACTGTGAATATTTATGAGATAAATGCATCATTGCTATTCACATTTTTGTCTTCAAAGTTTGTGGGCAATAAGGGTATTTCCATATGTCATAAAAATAAAATATTTTGCCTCACGCACAGTGTACGATACAGTTATTTGAAATTCCTACAATGTTCAAGTCAAGGGGCTGCTACAGGAAAAAGTTGGCTCGAGTTTTTAAGTTTGAGGGAATGTTCCTTCTAGAAGCATGCTGATCACAGATTTGTGTCGGTTTTTGTAGTCGAGACCACTTGAGACCTTTCCAAGATCACACAAGACCTCTAGTCTGAATTCAAGTCACAAGCTATTCAAAAGAACTGCAACAAAAGAATTCCTTTGTCACTCTTCACGCTGTTGCTTGTGTCTGGTCTTGTGTCTGGTCCTGTGTCTGGTCTTGTGTCTGGTCTTGTGTCTGGTCTTGTGTCTGGTCTTGTGTCTGGTCTTGTGTCTGGTCCTGTGT